CCCAGACTGGAGTGCAGTGGCTGCTCCCGGCCACCGCAGCCTCAACCTGCTGCAGCCTTGTCTTTTGACGTTTTAATAGAGACAGGGTCCCGCTCTGTTGCCCAGGCTGGTTCAAACTCCTGGCCTCAGGCAGTTCCCGGCTCGGTCTCCCAAAGAGCTTGGGTTGAAGATGGGAGCCACCGTGGCCAGCCAGTCTCTTCAGCCTAGAGCTGGTTGAGAGTCATGCCTGGGCTCCAAAGGCCTCCGAGCGTGCTGGGTTTTCTAGAACTCCCCAGGCCTTTCTCACTGAGCCTCGCCAGGCAGAAGCGGCCAGAGAAGGGAGACCCCGGCATCCCTGAGTCCTAGGGCTTCTCTCCCAGCCCCTGCCCCACGTGAAGCAGAGGGCATCCTGGGGAGGCCAGGCTGGTACAGAAGTCCTGGAGGGCACAGTGGGCAGAGTGTGGCCCCCGCCCGTCTCTCCAGCCTCAGTTTCACCTTGCTCTCTGTCAAGCCCAGAGGAGACGCCTGCCAGGTGTGTGTTGGTCCGAACCTGGCGTGCGTGCCACTACCTCACATCCTGGGGAGGCCCGGTGGCTCCTGGGGTTTGGTCCCCAGGTTTGCTGCGAGGTGGCCTTGGGCAAGGCCCTGAGCGTCTGTTTGGGGCCACAGCCACGGGGCAAGGGGGACCAGTGGGCCAACTCGTCGTGGGTCCCCTGCGGGGCGTCCGGCCCAGCAGCAAAGACACTACAGGATGTGGGGAGAGATGGTCAAGGTGCTGCCGCGTCCCTGCTGGCCTCATCGGGTGTCACTTCTCCAGGGCATGTGCCAGGCACCAGTCCCGCTCGGACCCGCCTTTCCCACAGGGGGGCCGGGGTTGGGCGAGGGCCGGGGCCCAGCGATGAAGCCCTGGGGGGATCTGGTCAGGCGAGCGGCGACCTGCCTCTTCCTCCTTCCTGGAGCACCTCTGGCACTACATCGCGGCCTCATTCCCGCCCCAGTCATCTGGGGAATGAACTTCAGGCCTGAGAAGCCACGTCCGGCCCTGGCGACCTCCCACGCTGTACAGAGCCTGGTGGGCCCCGAGCATGCTGCTCCTGGTGGTTGTCACCAGAGCAGAGCTCCAGCCAGGGCGACCTCCAGAAGGCTCAGTCACACGCCAGCTCAGGGAAGGGCGTTCTGGCCTCCGGGCCGGTCCTCCATCTCCCACTATGATGTGCGTCCTGAGGGCAGAGGGGCCCGCAGACACCCTGCTCTCGGCCAGGGGTTCAAGTTTGGCTCTGCTCCGCACTGGGGTAAGAGAGGCTTCATCTTGCTGCCAGCCACCGTGGCCCCTTCCCGGCCAAGAGTCAGAGTGTCCATTTCTCCTTTCTTGCAACCCCAGGACGGTGGTTCCCTGGACCAGGTCTTGAAGGAAGCCAAAAGGATTCCTGAGGAGATCCTGGGGAAAGTCAGCATCGCGGTAAGTCCCTCGCGGGTTTCCTTGCTCGGCAAGGCCATTCTTGCATCTGCCTCTCCCACATGGGTTCCAGGAGCCTCTCGGGGCCTGTGGCGGGGGCTAGCGTGGTCCCACGAAGAGCGGCCAGAGCGGTGTCCACCGACCACAGGACTTTAGTGAGAGATGTCCCATCTGCTGAGTGAGATGTTGGCCCTTGGCCCTTGGGATTCTGTGCGCCCACGTCTGGGACCTTGTGGTTGAGGGCCGGCTCTGGGCGGACCGGAGGCCCCGCCCCCTCATGGAGGGGGTGGCAGAGCTGACTGGCAGCCGGTACTGGGCGGAGCTTGTCATGGGAAGGCGGGGCCTGGGCAGGATGCGGGCCCCAGGGCCTCCCCGACCTCCCCGCCCTCCCCCAACTGCTGGGGACCGGTATCTCTGCCACTGCGTCTGCAGCATGGCAGCTTAGAGAGCAGAGGGTCTCTGCTGCTTCTGAAAGCCTGCCCCCCTCCCGTGGGATGGCACATGGCCGCCTGGCACTCAGCACTCACATTTCAGTAGCGTTTCCATAGGCGTTTCAGGTAGCTGCTGTCACGTTGCTTGTTTCACTTCCCGGGACTGGCCCTTCAGGGTGCGGCGGGGTGGGATGGCCCCCAATCCTTTCCGGCCGGAGGGCCCATAGCACGGGCCCCAGGACCCACAAGCACCACCTGACGGTGCCTGTCGGGCTGATGGCCAGGTACTCGGACCCTGAGTCTCAGGGGACCTGGGCCACTTACCCTGTTAGCTCAGCCCCCTTCGCTCTGAGCAGGCAGGAGTAGCACTCATCGTGCGGGCACGGCCGTGGGAGCTCGCGGGCGCTGTGCCAAGGGCCGGTGCCGCCCGCCTCGCTCTTCCCCCCCGGGCCAGCCTTCCGCCACATGCCCCTTGCTCAGGCCGACCCGGGGCCTGGCCCTCGCGGCCATGTCCCGCTGACCCTGTCCCGCTGACCCTGTCGTGCCCCCAGGTTCTCCGGGGCCTGGCGTACCTCCGGGAAAAGCACCAGATCATGCACCGAGGTAAGCGGGCGGGGCCCCGCGGGCCGGGGTGGGCCACACAAGACCAGCCTCCCCACCGCCTGACCGTCCCCAGACGTGAAGCCTTCCAACATCCTGGTCAACTCCCGCGGGGAGATCAAGCTGTGTGACTTCGGGGTGAGCGGCCAGCTGATCGACTCCATGGCCAACTCCTTCGTGGGCACGCGCTCCTACATGTCGGTGAGTGGCCGCGTCCCACAGCCCGGGCGCACGCGCCTCCTGCCACCAGGGCGGCCCCTCCACCAGGGGTCCAGGAAGCCCACGCTGCCCAGCGCCTACATTTCATCTGCTGGAATTCTCGTTTCCACCCTGGCCCACTTAGGGTGTCTGTCTCTCTGGCGGTGCCTACCTGGTCCCTTTCTACGGGTGGTAAAAAGCCAGTCAGAGCCTGGACAGCTTCGTGAGACCCCACTCCTAAAAAAGCAATTAAAATGAGCTGCTCAGCCTTAGATCAGGCTGAAAGAAAAAAAAATGAGCTGAGCATGGTGGTGTGTGCTACTTGGGAGGTTGAGGCTGGTGGATCGCTTCAGCCCAGGAGGTTGAGGCTGCAGTGAGCTGTGATCACACCACACTGCAGTCCAGCCTGAGTGACAGCCAGACCTTGTCTCCAAAAAATTAAATTAAATTAAATTCCAAGGCTGGGTGCTATGGCTCATGCCTGTAATCTCAGCACTTTGGGAGGTGGAGGCTGGACAGTCGCTTGAGGCCAGGAGTTCAAGACCAGCCTGAGCAACATAACAAGACCTCATCTCTACAAAAGATTAAAAAGTGAGCTGGGCTCGGTGGCTCAGCCTGTAATCCCGTGCCTTTGGGAGGCTGAGGTGAGTGGATGACCTGAGCCCGCGGGTTGGTGACCTGCCTGGGCAGGCGAGACCTCATCTCTACAATAAAATCAAAAAATTAGCCAGAAGCCGGGCTCAGTAGCTCAGCCTCTAATCCCGCGCCTTTGGGAGGCTGAGGTGAGTGGATGGCCTGAGCCCGCGG